TGCTTAAAAAATTTGTCGTACGACAAATGTAATACCAGCCTAATAGTACCCTAATCCTGTGATTGGTCATTATAAAAACATGTCGGATGCGCAGTACGGATCGGCGCGAACGTGAAACAAAAGAACGAGTGTCCCTACTGGTTATACTGTGGTTATTAGTTATACTGTGGTTATACTGTGTTCCGATATTCACTGCCAGTACTGAAGATGTATAGATACGTGACGTAAATTATAAATTTGCAATACTGGCAGTAAATATCGGAACACATCCTTAATTGAAACTATTACAATATGTCGAAGCTAATAGCTGGAAAATTGGCGTTAGTTACTGGTTCGTGAGTTTTTTAAATACTTTAGTTGATAACTTCTCTCCAACATTTATTAGCTTATAATTTGATTAAATTGATAAACTTTAGTTTTCAACGATTTTCGAAATATAATTATCCGGTTTATTTTTTATTCATATTATATATATATGTATATCATAAAAATGTTAATGCTTCAGTATAGCTACACCGCCTCAAAAACCAGTAAAATCAGTCTTATTCGACGCGTTTTTCAACGAGAAAGAACTTTTTCCTTAAGCAAAATCGTCGCTCTGTCCTGCGAAGCGAGATATTAATTGTTAAAGTTAACAATTTTTAGGGTTAGGAAATCAGTTACACTGACGACATGCTCGAGGCTACATACACTGGGTTTGCGACTTTCCACGTGAAGCAAGATCCACTCCACACTTCGGACCCTTCGGACATAATGTGGGTAGGGTTATATTTTTACGAGGTGGAGCATGAAGAGCAAGCGTATTTAGCCTCGAGCATGTCGTATGTCGTTACATTTCGTCGTGGTAACAGATTTCCTAACCTTAAAAGTTGTCAACTTTAGTAATTAATATCTCGCTTCGCAGGGCAGAGTGACGTTTTTGCCTCAGGAAAAAGTTGTGTCTCGTTGAAAAACGCGTCGAATGAGACTAATTTTATTGATTTTTGAGGCGGTGTAGCTATACTGAAGAATTACCCAATTCATGTCATTGATAACATTACATGTGTAATCTTGAAATCCGAGGTATAGGTAATTTTGATTCTCTCAATCACATTATAGGTGCAGGAAGCGGCATCGGAAGGGAGGTATGTCGAGTTTTTGCCCGAGAAGGTGCTAAAGTTGTTGCAATCGACCAAAACGTCAAAACTGCTACGGAAACTGTAGCTGTTTTGGAAGGTTTGTATAATTCTATTAATTATATTCGTTAATTTACGTCTCTATCAAGATTAAGACCAATATATAGAATTTATTATTGTATTTGTTGCATTAAAGTTTCAATTAACTAAAGTTATATCTCATTTTTCAATTCCCATCAATTCTATTCTATTTTATTCTACAATTATCTATTATATCATTGTTTCGAAGTTTATTAGTGGGTTTGCTGCTGCAGGTGCTGGACATGTTGCATTGAACGTTAACGTCGCTGATCGGAAGAGCGTTGAGACAGCGTTTGAACATGTCTTAAAGCAGTTTTCAAGACCACCAACCATCATTGTTAATTCGGCAGGCATTACACGGGATAACTTTTTAGTGAAACTTAGCGACATTGATTTTGACGATGTAATCAATGTCAATTTAAAAGGCACTTTCCTAGTTATGCAAACTGCTGTTAAAGAAATGATATCGGCAAATGCAACCGAAAACTCGTCGATTATCAACATTAGTTCAATAACTGGTAAACGTGGGAATATCGGGCAAAGCAACTACAGCGCATCAAAAGCTGGAGTGATAGCTATGACAAGTACCGCCTCCATGGAGTTTGGACAGTATGTATGACAGATGTGTATATCCATTACTTTATTTAAAACACCACAAAACAGATAAATACATTATGCTTTCTATAGGTTTGGAATTCGCGTGAACGCAATACTGCCTGGTGTTATAGACACTCCTATTATCGCAACTTTACCTGATAAAGTTAAAGAGTTTTTTATAAAAAATATACCATTGCAAAGAATAGGAAGACCGCAAGAAGTGGCAGAAGTTACTGCATTTTTAGCTTCTGATAAGAGTTCTTATATAACTGGAGCATCTATTGAAGTTACGGGGGGATTACATTGAGTATTATGAACTCGATATTTTATAATATAATAACATAACAGTAACAACCGGAAAGCAACGTAAAATGTTAGCGAATATCACTGTTCTGTCTAAACGAGACGTTAACATAAAAGCGACTGAAAATGTGGGAGATTGTTATTTTATATTTGATGTATATATACATATACATTTATTCAGGACTATTTTCGTAAACTAACTTAGTACTGATATCGATCAGGCTACAGGATATGTAATTGGGATACAATACTTGTGTGATTAGGCACATATTTATACATATATAGACACACAAGATAAATGAATGTATCACTTAATGTGATGCAATATAATGTGATATATCAAAGAAGAGTTTGATAGACAAAAGAGAAAATTAATTAAGACAATCAATGTCTTCTTTTCATAGTTGCACAAATTACTTCGCGGTCATCTTTAAAACTTATTCTTAAAATTGTTCCATTGAGAAGATGAATTAGGTCCAGTTGTACCAATGTAATTTTAACGTTGGCTTAATTCACTCTTTGTCTCTTTCAAAGGAAAATATAGAGTGAATTGAACTAAAAGTTAAACGACGTTGGTGCAACCGAGTCTTAAACTTGTATAACATAACAGATTGAAACTGCTTTTATTTGAAAAACTATTTTGCTGATAAAAATAGTTTTCCAAATAAAAGAAAATCATAAAAATTATATTTTTCGTACTTGTTCACATGTTGTATATAATTGTTTATTAAAAGTACAACTTTAAATATATTGAATGTATAAAAAATATAATAATTGTTTACAAAAAGTTATATTTGTAAATATATTAAAAGTATATTTTGCAACATGATATATTTTTCAAAGGTGATGAATGAAACGTAACGAAGTGAAACTGTACAAATGATCTCTTTATAAAGCGAGTGTAATATATTCCAAACTGTATTGTTTATACAAGAAAATTATATTTTATTAAAATGCACTTATTACCATGGTTTAATTTTCTTTATCGTTCAACGTGTATTCTTGTGTTCACACAATAGGCTACTGTTATTTTCTCTTTTTCATATATAATGCTAAATTTTTTCTGCATTTATGTAACATATTTGTAAATTAAAATATGTATGAAGTAGAGAAAGCATTCCAGAATTGTCATAGACATTAAGTGTGGAGTTATTTTTTGAAAATGCTGCGTTTCAGCAAAAACTATTATTTTTTATTTATCATACGTGTATAACACATTATATGATCGAACATCTAAATATCCTATATCAATACTGTTTTAATGCCTAAAAAGGAACGATTTTTTTTCGTAATATAGAATTTGCTTTTTCTTTTATTATGCTTTTACGACATTACGAGTAATGAGCAGACCATCGTCAGAGAGTCCCGTAAGGAAAAAAAAGAAGTTTCAGCATGACTGAACGGGCAATAATGGTTTGTCAAAGAATTGGTAAGATAGAAAGAGAAGACATCCTCTAATAGTATGAAATTTCACGGTGAAACTTCTAGGTTCCGTCGTTAATCTGACACGAAGTCATGCGAAGCGACGCCGAAAGTTTTGCAATTCATAATGCGAAATGGCGTGGCCCGCGCTACACCTTGTTCTCGGTTTAGATTATTTTAGCGTTAGCAACTTTATTGCTAAGTAAAACAGAAAGGCAATTCTTGCGAATCACTTCCTAATTGTTAATTAAAAATATCTTCGGGCGACGTTATTAAATTAATACATATAATGTCTTATCGCTTTTTTTAATGTCTTGGAATAATGCCGCACCGTATTATCTGATCGTGAGCATGTTAAAATAACAAAATTTTTGCTTTCCCCTGTCATTACACGTATCACTTGTTTATAAAAGATACCTACGCGGCTTTTGTATCCAAACCAAAGAAAGACCGTCGTTTCTTTTACCAGATAATGCTACACGCGAGACCGGAATTATAGTTGTGTTTGTTGTGCAACGCTCTTACGCTTAAACGTATAGTAACGATGCGCAATTTCCAAGAATTTTATTAACATGTATAATTCTCGAATAGTAAAAATTTATGAAGGAGGAATTTCTTTCAACGCGAAAGTTTCAGGATGAGAGATTGTATGAGAAATAATTTTAAAAAATATATATATTTTTTTTCTTTTATAATTTAAATAATTTAAAAAGAAAAATATATATATTTTTTAAAATTATTTCTCATACAATCTTTGCTTTATCGAAAATTTCGATCGATTCCTTCAGTATTGCAATGATAGATTTAAATTAAATTTTACATATCGAACGTCTCGACACTATAAGATTACGAATTTAAATAGTGGATTCTTCAATAAATCAAAGACATCGATCTTTTCAGTAATGACTCATACGCAGAAAGCAGCTTAGTTACGCTATTCAATTACTCCGAGAACAAAATCGTAAAATTAGTCTAAATTGAGTAAGAAAAATCTCTCTTTCTGATCGTTAAGCGAGTAGAACGCACGCGAGCACGTGTCGATGAGCCCGCATCGCCTCGTGCGCACCGACCGCTCTAAAGGTTTTCGATTTTCACTCCACAGGGAGACTTCGCCCCACCATCATCTTCATTATAATACCGCGGGAACATTTCAGAACCACTGGTCGGACCACGAACGACTCGTACGATACAGTTGATCCGTGGTCATCCAGTGGGACAGAAGGATCCATTTGAAAACGCGCGTAGCGGATCATCTTCATATTTTTTATTTTTCCCCTTCTTCCTGAGAGGGCGGATGCCACAACATCGACGTCTCGAAGTTACCATGAGCTTACAAAAGTGGCATTATCAGGACTCTCTGACAGACTCGGAGATGCAAATGCAAATATCTGTATAACGCCGTCCTGTTCAGATCGAGAAACAATCTGTGATCAGCGGTGAAGATCGAATCGTCTAAATGCTGGAACAAGTACGCAATTTCACGACTAATTAGTGACATTTTTCAACAATGTCACGAGCATCCTGACAGAGAATCGCTACTTTATTTTGCTCAAAGACCCGCCGAAGAACCGTGCGAGTTTTCTGTCCGTCAAGAAATCAGGAGGATCGATTGCCAGAAGAAGAGAAAATTCTCGTCGACCCTAACAAATCCGGTCCCAAAGACCCGTTTAAATCGCCGATTATATGGCTCCAGTGAATCCCGCTCAAATATTCTGTAAACACTAAGTATATCGTAATAAATCTTTTCTGTCAGCATTTATGAGATAAACACGCGGAGCACAATGCATCTGCCGTTTGTAACTCTGCTCGTGCTTTCCGCGATCTACGTACACGCCGAGGAAATATCATCCACCGATATTCCGAGCGACGTCGCAGAGGAACCTATTCTCCGAGTACGAAGCTTGCCGACGACAATCAATGTAGTTGAAAAAAATTGGACCAGCCTGTCGGACATGCTGGATGTTTTTAGTGCGCGTAATTTAGTAAAAAATTGGATCGAGGGAAAATACCCAGTCGGAGTGCAATGCGGCAAAGACATTACAACGTACGTCAATGCTTTAAAAAATGAAGAACTGTGGGCTCTTAAAGGTAAGCTCAATTTGTTCATTAGTATTTTTTCGTTCATTAAACTATGTTTATTTTACATAAAAAATTGTTTAATGCGTGTCGTTCTTGTAAATAAGAGAAAATATATTTTTCTTTTCAATAAATTAAGATTCCTGCGAAAATAGAATCTTAGTATATATAAATAACGAATATTAAATGTATGTATATTATATAGACAATATACATTACTATATTATATTATAATAAATAATTTGTATTATATAAATATATTGTTTATAGTAACAGTAGTTGATCGTTACTTAATTTTGTCTTTCTCTTACATAAATATTCTTATATAAACATTGTGAATTGTCTATATCTTTGATAGTAAAAGTTAAATAATAACTAAGTAAAGATGTATTACTCTTAAAAAAGTATATAAGTAAATCATAAACCTTTTTAAAAAGTATATAAGTAAATCATAAACCTTTTTAAAAACTCTTATTCAGAATGTTTAAGAAATTTTACTTACAGTTCTCTTTCTTTTCTCTCTAATAAAATTTTTGTCGATTGATTTAATATGGTTTATTTGGTAATTGCGAAAATAGAAATAGCGCACGCGCGTGTGCGTGTCGATAAATTTCTTTACATATTTTAATTATATGTATTAATGATATATCCTCTATTTATTTAATTATATATACTCTAAAGTAATAGTTTGTTACGAAATTCCCATGTCTAAACGCTTTTTCGAAACACCAGCTTGTACTCAACCTTGTAAAGCTTCAAACAAAACGCAACAAAGAAGTGGATGGCCTTCTCATCCCTTTTTTACCGCCGGAACAGGATTTCCCTCATTTCTTGATTGGAAACAAGTTGTTTGTTAAAAAAAATTGTTTTTAATGTATCTTTATTGCAATTAAGTTCATCACAATGGAATACATATATATTAAAAAAGATAACGGCTATACACACTGATACTCTATTGTCTTAGAATCTTTGTTTTTTGCCCTTTGTTTTCTTGAATTAATTATTACGATTTGTATTACCAGCTTACATTTTATAACTTAACAACTTGTAACGCAATCGATGCCCCTCGACGCATTACGTAATTGTTATATATTCATTTTTGCGTCATAACACGTATTTAATAACACCTACATTATTACTTTACGTAATGAATTACGTTATACTAGACGTAAGGCGTTTAATTTTTGATCTGATTACATCGCGCTCTGTGTCTCATATCGAACGGTTTCGTACGTGCCACGTGTATATGTAACTTCCTATGCATTACAACTTTCTCCCTCATGCAGCTTTCTACGTTACATTGCGCTGCAGATAATCGTGCTAAATCATTCGGTGAGATGCGAGTTATTCGAACGATCCCCTCCAATTGCATCACGTTTGTGGGAACAAAATGCTTTGCGCGGCATATCTCGAAATTGTCCGTCGTTTATTGTAATGATAGTGTCTCCGATTTTAATTTTGCGGGATCCTAATTTGAGAGCCCCTTTCGACTAGAGGTACGAAGTGCGACTGGGTTACCAAATTACGGCGCGCCTCGTGACTTTCCCCGGGTAAATATAGATTTTGGGTTTGCTAAAAATTTTACCGTTAAGATGTTAAAGTTCGGTTCTCCGCTATCCGGTCCGAAGAAACGGGACACGCCGACGTCACGTTGATGAACCCGGCCAGGAGCATTCTCACTAAACAACGTCTGCTTTCCGGTTTCCTCCTCGGTTTGCCTACTTTCGTCGCGAGGTTTCACTTTTAGCGACATAAGAAAGAGCCGATCAGACGTGAAACAGTCGACTCCGTTTAGCGCGTCACGCCTTTGACGCTTTACTTTCTTCAATTTCGATTCCGGATTTTCGTACGCTCGCCGAACCCAAATTTGTCTTGCAAATTGCGAGTTTCGATTTTCTTTTCTGCGAACGCGAAATTAAAAACATCTTACTCGTCCCGTCGCTCAATTTTTTATTTCAATCCGTTCTGGGCAAATATCGGAATAAGAAAAATTTTTTTTTCTTGTACAAAGAACGAGTGTACATAATTACATATTTTCTACAGCAATATTATTGTTTTATAAAAAAAACGTACTATTGAAAGAACGTCTTTTATTATTTTTTAACATCCAAAATTGGATCTTAGATCATATCAAAATAGAAAAGAAAATTTATCAGGATCTAATTGCTTTTAAAACTGACTAATGTGGTTGAAATAATATTAAAATAATCGGGTTTAATATTGCGGAATTTTCTCTCAAAACCCCTACGATGAGTTGTTACGTATTTTTCCTCTCAAGACGTTGTTATGCCATTTGAAAGTATTGCAGCGAAAGTAAAAAGGTGACAGTCCAATTAAGAATCGCGTATTATTTGATAAATATATGTATAGGTATACGAGCATTTATCGCATTTTTTAAATCTGGCACGTATTATATAATAATATATAATCGATAATTATACGATAATTCACATGCGAGATTTTTGCAAATTAGCACGTGAGCTTTAATCAGTGCTCTGTCTCTCACTCTCGAGTTATCAACAATCATATCACGTTTATGAAGAAGAATTCGGCGAAGATCGTGAACAAATAAAGGAATTTCAATGAGCGTGGAGGACACTGGGAATACGAAAGCCAACTTTACATCAATGAATGTCATTTCACATCTTATCGGTATATCAGACGAAAATGTATAAATAGTGAAATAAAATTCGCATTTTTCAATGTAAATATTATTCAGATCAAATAAAATATATTGATATCAATAAATACCGAACATATTGATATTCGAACAAAATATTTGAATTTAATTAAATATTCGAACATTCTTCTATCGATATTGATATTAATTTGTTCGAATGATACAAATGAAATGACCTAGTTGAATTTTCATGAACTTTAATATGAAGTATTAAGAATACTCTTAAAAGTCGCCAGTAGTAATTAACAACATCAATGATTTTATTGACCGTATCTGGCAATTAAAATTCTTATTGCGAAAAATATTACCCCAACCAGGATTCGAACCTGGGACCTCCCTCAATCCGTGACGGGCGTCTTTTAATATGAAGTATATATTAATCTTATATAAAAATACTTCTATTATACATATACCTACATATATAATATTTAAAGCTGCAAGAGAAATCATATCGCTAATTGCGCGCAATTGTTTTGGTATGTAACGTGCATTGAAACAATCTAGATCATTTCAACGTAAAGAAGTGTTTTTTTTCTGTTCGAATATTTTTCACGGACAGGAACTAAAGAAGAAACCTGCCATCTGTTGTTCAGGTACAAGTTTTAAGTGGGTCAGGGTTTATCTTCTCGCGTTTCGTTCTCGCAATAACGAAATACCAATAGTATCGAGGCAAATTATTGTAAAAGTATCGACAACGATTTGCAAAAAGGAAAATAATCGATAATTATTTCACATGCGAGACTTTTGCAAATTAGCACGTGAGCTTTAATCAGTGCTCTGTCTCTCACTCTCGAGTTATCAACAATCATATCACGTTTGTGAAGAAGAATTCGGCGAAGATCGTGAACAAATAAAGGAATTTCATTGAGCGTGGAGGACACTGGGAATACGAAAGCCAACTTTACATCAATGAATGTCATCTTATCGGTATATCAGAAGAAAAACGTTCATTGTATACTCGATCATATTCGTCGCGAACGTTTACTCGTTCGTCCTTGCCAGCTCGGTCTGGGCCCACCTTGAAGCAACGCTCCTCAACCGGAAAGCATTCTCCTTAACCGGTCGCCACTTTCACCCTCCGCGAGTCCGCAACCTGTCTCACCGTTGCGGTATTTGTGAATTTCGCGAACTTCAAGCCCGAGGAAAGGTGAAAGGCGCTCGCTACTCTATACCGAGAGAACATTGTCGAAGGAAAGCATTATCCTCACGACGCCCGAAGGGCCCCCGAACGACGCCGCTCTTTCGATATACAAACGTGTTATTTTCTCGCGCGCCATCCGTCGTCCGCGCTATTCTATCTGGAAAATGTCACTTCCTAGTTTCTACCATTACAGATCAAAATCTGCTGACGAAAAATTGGACATTATTAAGCTATACACGTAAAACGAGATGCTGGCACTACGAGGAAAACATGTATAATGCCCCAAGCTTTGGAATCCTTAAAATATATAATTTATTATCACTGAATC